TTAGAGGCTTCATAAAAACGCAGCATCCATTAAAGCTCCTTAAATCTGAGGAGATTATATATAGAGAGAGAACAAGCAATGAAACCTGTGCTCTGCACCTGCAGCTAGAAGTGGCATTACCAAGGCAGAGATAAGAAGCTTTCCTTTGGAAGTTTGAGGAGAGCTAATCTAAAGCATTCGTATGGGTATCGCCCTCATTGGGGGGCAGTACTGGAGGAACCTAAAATGCGGGGGGGGGTCGGTTTGTTGCATTTGCACAGTCCTGCCTTTCATTGGAGCCCAAGGCCTAACTGGCTTCTTCGCTCTGAAAATGAATCTGTGCCTGGGCTCTTTGGATGACAACCTGTCACTGGCTGGTGGAGAACTACTTCATTACCCCCCAAATGATAAGATGGGAACAAAGGCGCTGACCCCGTACCCGCAATCGGGGGCACCAGAACAGAGGGTACATGCAGCCATAGCCCCATCACTTTTAAAAGTGGGAGGGCGATGTCCTCCCACTTTTTACCGGCTGTAGGGCGTGTGGAAAGGAGTGAGCAGGGGCTGGGTTCTCAGTGGGAAAGGCAGTGCGAGGGCACGGCCCCGGGGAAGAGGCAGGGTGGGGCCTTGGAGAAGGGGTAGGGCCTCGGAGAGGAGCCGGGGCAGGGGCAGAGCCTCAGGGAAGGGGCGGGGCCCCAGGCAGGAAGAGGTGGGGCCTCAGGGGCAAGGGACAGTGCAAGGGTGGGCCCTAGGGGAAATGGGCGGTGCCGGTGGCCCCCCCACACACACATTTTTGCCACTCCTGCCCGCAATAGGTACAGTAACTCCTGACTTAACGTCGTCCCAGTTAAGGTTGTTTCATTGTTACGTTGTTGATCAATTAGGGAACATGCTTGTTTAAAGTTGCGCAATGCTCCTTTATAACGTTGTTTGGCAGCCACCTGCTTTGTCCACTGCTTGCAGAAAGAGCAGCCCGTTGGAGCTAGCTGGTGGGGGCTTGGAACCGGGGTGGACCGGCAGCCCCCTATCAGCTCCCTGTTCCCCTAAGTTCCCTGTGCAGCAGCCGCCCTATTCCGGGCAGTTCAGCTGTCCCTCCCCGCACTGCCTTGTGCTGCTCCTACCCTCTGCCTTGGAGCTGCTCCTGGGAGCCTCCTGCTTGCTGTGCGGGGGGCGGGGAGAGAGGGGTGCTAATGTCAGGGTGTCCCCCTCCCCCCCACTCCTGCCCCCCATCTCCACAGAGCAGGGGTGGAACACGACAGGGATCAGGAAGAAGGGAGCGTGCTGGCAGCAGCTGCGGTCTCAATTTGAGGATCTACTTAAACAGGCAATGTACTTAGAGTGGGGTAAGTGTACTTAAAGGGGCAAGGCGCGTCTCTCTCTCTCACACGTGTGTGTCTCTGTCTCTCTCTGCCATGCTGTCTCCCCTCCCTCCATTCATGCTGCCTTGTAGAGTGTGAGGCTACATTAACAACAACGTGTTAACCCTTGAGGGCTCAGCTGTTCTAGTTCATCATTTAGCAGCAAGGCATTCCCTGGGAAATATCCCACCCTCTGACTTCACCACCTCAACCAAGCTTCACAATCATAATTGCTGTGTACAGTATTAAACTATTTGTTTAAAACTTATACTGTGTGTGTGTGTGTATTATATATATATATATTTTCCCCCTGGAACCTAACCCCCCCATTTACATTAATTCTTATGGGGAAAGTGGATTTGCTTAACATTGTTTCACTTCAAGTAGCATTTTTCAGGAACATAATTACAACATTAAACGAGGAGTTACTGTACCTAATAACAGCAGCAGCCTCTGTTCTAGGGAAGCGAGAGGCCAGAGCTCTGCGGATGGGGACTCTATACTTCACCATGTCCCTGCTCTACCGGATTAGAAGACAAGAATACTAATCATCTAGGACAGAACCAGTTGTAGGAATGTTCTGCCAAAGCAACTGAGCTGATCTCACTCTCAATCAATGAGATCAATGGGATCAGGACAGGGAAGGGCCTTTGCCATAGAAGACCCTATTTATGAACCTTTCTCATAAGGGCTTCCACTGAAATTTCTCTGTAGCTATATTCAAATCTTCTACATCCTTTTTGTTGGCACCAGTCAGTCCATGGCCATTTAATTCCCCACCAACTATGTGCCAAACGGGTGGGTAGTCATGCAGTGGGTAACAGCTGGGCCATTTAGCCTAAACTCTTGGTTAATCTCTATTCATTTTTGACTTACACCTGTGGAAGTGGGGAAAGCGGAAAAGGAAATGACCTGATTTGCTGCTTCCCGGCATTTCTGAATGGAGATCTCGTCTGGTTCCCCTTGGTATTCTGGCACTGCAACAAGGACAGGAGGGATTATTGCGAGGTGAGGGGTGGCCAATGGCTGCTGAAACGTTACCGTTTAACGAGCAAGAAACAAAGTCACGGACTTACAGTCAATTTTTTTTGCGACCAGTCTGTACGGAAACGCATCCCCAAGGATCTGAAGGACCTGTTGGGAACAAGACAGAGGCTGTTCAGCCAGCTCTGCGGGCAGGGGACAGCGCCTAGCCCAGTGTGTGAGATACTGCGGGGAAGTTTGGTCCCGTCCTCCCCCAGCCACAGGGGCTCTCACCACCCGCCTCAGACCCAGGCGCTATGGGGGGGAGGGGGGAGTGGCAGGAAGTTTGGAGCAGGGCGGGCACTGGGCAGTGCTGGATGGGAGCAGTGTTTGGCCAGGATCAGGGACAGCGGGGGCGGGGGGACTTGCTCTAAGGCTCCTACCAGGCTCCGGCAGGGCCACCGAGAGAAGGTTCGGGTCCCTGTGAAAAAAAATTTTCGGGCCCCCAGCAAGGGCAGACCGGCTAAACAGGCCGACGAGAGGGGAGGAAGCCGGGCCGCGATGAGAGGGGCGGGGGGAAGCCGGACCCCGGGCTCCCTTCCGGACCAGCTCCCCCCCTCTCGTCAGCCCTGGGCTCCGGTTCAGGGAGCGGGACCCCCCGACGGCGCTCGTCCAGTGACAGGTTCAGCGTCGGGAGCGTCCCCAGGGCAGCGACAGTCCTGGCGGAGCCCGAGCCCCGGCCCGCCCGGGCGTTAACTCTGGAGCCTAATGACGGCAGCGCGCGGAACGGGCGGGCAGTGACAGCAGGGGGCGGGGCTAGCTGCGGGGGCGGGAGCAAGCGCCGCACGCGGGAGGAGGCCCCGCCCCTCCCCCGGAAGACAGCGCCGTCCGGGGGTTGGCGGACGCCATGCTTCATTCCGGTACGGTGGCCCCCTCCGTCCAATCCGCGCAGCTCCCTACCCCCCCACCTCCTCTAGCTTCTTGGCGTTGCCGGTCACGAACACCACGTTCCTCCCGGCGGCGGCGGCCATAGCAGAGCCACAGCGCCTGCGCGCTGACCTGCCAATTACAGCCTCGCCACCCAGCAGCCAGGGCAACGCGCCTAGCCCCGCCCCGCGGGACCGGCCAATGAGAGGAGAGACCGATCTTCCAGCGCCGTGGGGACTGAAAGGAGCCTGGGTACGCATTTCCGGTGACGAAGGGCGAGGGAGGCTCGGGGACAAGATACTTCCGGTCTCCCAAGCCGCCACTAGCTGGAGCAGACCGGAAGTGCTTTTCTGCCCCACCCCCGAGCTCTATGGCCCTGGAGGCCGGAAGTGCGGGGTCGGGTTGCTCCGGTAACCGATGCCCTGCCGGAGGGGGCGGGGGGCTACGGAGACCCAGCAGGGCGATGCTGTTGCCTGGGTGTAACGTGGCCTCCCTCGCACCTGGCCCGTGCACGGCCGCGGCTCTGCTGTCCCGGAAGGGGTCACCAGGGGTTTTACCGACCCCCTGCCCTGCTTAGCGTTGCCAACTTTCTACGGGCACAAAACCGACTACCCTAGCCCCGCCCCTTCCCCGAGGCCCCGCCCCCGCTCACTACATTCCCCCTCCCTCACTTTCCCTGGGCTGGGGCAGGGTTTTGGGGAGCGGGAGGGGATCTGGGCTCTGGGCTGGGGGTGCTGGCTCTGGGATGGGGCTGCGGGATTTTATGGTGCAGGGGGGGGTTCCAGGCTGGGGCTGAGCAATTCGGAGTGCGGGAGGGGGCTGTGAGTTGAGGCAGGGGGTTGGGGTGCAGGGGGGAGTGAGGGCTCTGGGGTTGGGCAGGGGATGAGGGGTTCAGGGTGTGGGGGGCTCTCGGCTGGGGCAGGGGGTTGAAGTGTAGGGGGTGGGGGCTCGGGTGCAGCAAGGGGCTCTGGTTTGCGGGGTCTATGGGCTGGAGTGCAGGAAGGGGTA